GAGGTCGGCAATGTCGGAACTGGCATTGCCACCCATCGGGACGCCTTTAACTTGGCGGAAGATGCAACCAGCGAAGCGTACGTAGGACTCGCGCACGACGAAACGAAGGATAGCATCTATTTCCACACGCGAGTAAACGGATCCAGAGCCGTGGGGGCGGAGGCATGCAGAAAAGAAGATTCTACTAGGGGTAGTGAGAAGAGCATCAGATTGGGCGTTACGAAAACAAAGGGTGAAAAGACAGCTGAGGGCGTCAAGGATTAAATGATACGGGAGTTTTGTAAAAAGGGTGGAGAAGTCTGCTGTGTGTAAGTGAGTAACAGGTCCACACTCGCTGATGAAAGATAATACCTCGCCAGAACTACGTAGACTATGAAAGAGACACTTACGTAATCTGCGTTGCGCAACAACTGCATAGTTGCGAAGGTGTTGGCGAAAGAATTGAAGAATGCGATGCAAAAGTATGCTCAATGGCTTGATACTGGAATGGATGGCGGAAACGATAAAACGGAAGCTGTAGGGGTTTTTATGAAACTTTGGAACAGCGTAAATTAAAGGGAGAACCTTATTGTTTTCGTCTAGACTAAGTTGGAATGTGCGTAGGAGTCTATCGTGGCTAGCAACTATCTGTGAGGCACTATCACGAACAGGAATATGAGTGTCGTTACCAAGAATCTCACCACTACCTTTTATGCCGAGTTCTCGACGCAAGGCGTTTACATATAAGAATTTACAGATGAATGCATGTTGATTTGTATTTGACAAATAAAAACACTTACCACACGAACTATCGCGGGAATGAAGGCCGTGCTACACGCATTCCGGGCTGTGGAGGCCTACATCGAATCAGCGGCCGCTTCGTTGAAAACGGCGGAGGAAATCGTGGCCTCATGGGTAGGGGCATATTAGGCGGAAAAGGCGGACGTATCAGTGGTCCTGGTGGCCTAAGACGTGCTCCCATTCGCGGCATCCCTGCTCCCGGTGGTATTGGTGGCCCCTGTGGCGCTCCTGGTAACCTTTCCATCGGCATCCGATTAGGAGGAACAAGTGGTGGGCGAGGTCTAATCAGTGGTGGCGCTCCTCGTATTGGTGGTGGCGCATTTGTAGATACCTGAAAAAAATGAAACTAAAATATCTGGTATTACACAGTAGAATTTGAAAAAAGTATGGAAGTAAAAATTCTGAAAAGAAAAACTCGAATCTGTGACGGCAATACCGGTGCATATATATTAATTCTTATTTTTTTCATATATTCAAGATAAATATAGTTAAAAAGCGTACAACTCAATAAAAGATGTTAGTGCAAATCAAAATATAAAATGTAAATGTTGTTAAAACTGCAACTATGTACAGAGATTGTTTTTCATTTGTCCTACCGGTATACAATCCGGGATCGATGGGCCTAATGCAGCTGCGCCCAGTGTGTGGCAGACTCTCAGTAACATCTCATACATGGGATCTTGCTCTATCTGTTGCCTGTCTTGTTGCACTTTTTATGCGTTTTTGCCTATACGCAAATTGCAAAAACGCATATTGGGACGACCCTGTCTGT